ACACATAATAGTTTCATATATGAATTATACATATCTTACTGAATCATATCTAAAAACCTATACGTATAAACTCTAAGCAAATATACAAATTCAAACACAAATATTACTGTGAAATGAGCGAATCTTCGATCACAAATTCAAAATAATCAACAAGTTCATCCAGAAAATTTTCAGATCACAATTTTTTCTAGATTACAAATTAACTATACAAATCATAAGTGTTAAACTCTATTTCGAACAAAATATACACCTCTCAATATACATTCAACTTAAATTGATGATAGTTAAAAAGGAAATATGATTTTGAATACATGTTGAACACCATCTTCGACCTAAAAAGACAAATCAGAGTATGTTTCGTCATGAAATTACCTCCTGTTGCTATCTCTACAGTCCAATGATCTCGATTGTTTGTGTAGTACCGTCAATTGCTTGATCCATTTTCTGAATTGAGTTACAATGGAGTTCTTACTGTTGAAGACGACGAAGAAGGAAGGAAATTCGAATGGAACAGAACGTGCGTGACTTCAGTGATTTTTTTCCTTTTTTTTCTAACCGAAATTAACGCCTTTTTTTTATAAAAAAAAACTATCAAAATGTATTAACAAAAAAATGACTAGCGAATATACAGAAAGACACGTCCATAGCAAACTATAATTTTGCTACGGACTGCAATTTTACAAAGTTTGCTATAGCATACAATTAGCAATTTTTTATTTGCTATACGTAAAATTTTCTCTAATAAATATGGTATGCATGCAATATGCATATCTAATTAGGTAGTTTTTTCATATTTTTTTCTACTCTGTCAAAATAACTAGATATGCAATTAATTGCAAAAACAATATTGTCCCGTTTGGCTCTTGAGTTAGAGTTCGAACTCACCTCCTTTATTCTATTTTATAGCCTCTTCTGTAGTCTCAATCGGAATAGCCAGGCCAACAATCTTTTTCTTTTATTAGGAATAATCGAATCCGAAAGAGACGCAGGTCTGAGTAACTATTTACAATTTTTTATGTTATAAACCTTGAATCGCTTCTCATCAGCACTTATAGCATCAATCTCTTCATTTCTTTCTCCATAGTCTTATAGTAATGCATTAGTCCATATTTTTATAAAAATAAAATCAATGCCCAGCTCAACATTCATGCACATCTCCAGCTGACTGCTAGAGATGTATTAAAAGGGAAGTCTTCAAAGAGAACTCCAGATGACTAGAGGCCACAGTTCGAATCACACTGCACTGCACTAGTTCAAATCTCAACAGTTTCATAATTATATTGTTGCCAGTTGTGGAAAAAAATAAGAAAAAAGTGAAATATAACTAGTATTACATAACTGAAATATTATTTTTTCCTCATGAACTCCACTTTTACATGCTCAATTTGAAAAAACTCGTTAGGTTGACAGCTATTAAATGAATAAAAAGATGCAATTGTCAACATGCTGAAGACATTGTAAGTTCCTAAACAGTTACAAATATACCAAAGCCAAGCAAAATCCTTGTTAAGCACGTACAAGATACCCAATGGTGAGACAAATCAATGCAACCATGCAAAGGAATAACGGGGGAAAACCAACTTGAGATCTTTTTCCAACACCCTTTGTCTTTAGTAATGCCTGTAAGAAATGACAAATGCCAAGTTTTAGAAGTTAGACACAGCCTTGAGGTCAATCTGATCCCACGTTCATATGCAGAAGAATTAGTTGAAGTACTTTTTAGCTTTTTATTCAGAACCAGCAAAAGAAAAGATTACTTGGTTTCGATGGGACTTCAATTCATTATGAAGTCACTTCAACTCAATGTAACGTTTCTCAAAAACATTTCAATCATTATTGTTATTAATTGAACAAGTGATTTTCCTAGACATTTTGCAGCATTGAGTTTCATGGTGGCAGAATAGCCAATGATCTATATCGTTTCATTGGGAGGAAATTGATTTATGGTCAATGAATCAATTCTTTTCAAAGTTTTTGATTGCAAAAGATTGGAAAATGCTGTTCTTTCTGAGGACACTAATTACACCTCAACTCAGAAAGCAAAGCATAAA